CAGGCCTGCACCCTCTGATAAGGGCGAAGTGAGGGGGTCTGACTGCGCCTTGTCCTCCTCGCCCAGGGCACCCAGAGCCAGGGCTCTGCCCTCCAGGACCCAGAGTGCTTCGCCCATCTGCTGCGCTTCTACGACGGCATCTGCAAGTGGGAGGAGGGCAGCCCCACGCCCGTGCTGCACGTGGGCTGGGCCACCTTCCTCGTGCAGTCCCTAGGCCGCTTCGAGGGGCAGGTGAGGGAGCAGCGCCGGGGGTGGGGCTGGGGAGCTGTTGCTGCTGGAGACTCGGGCGCTTTGTGGCCTGAGGTCTGCTCACCCCCTTTGGGTGCTCTGCGCTGAAGCCACAGACAGGATGCCTGAGGCTGGGTCCTGCAGTCACCTTCCTCTCAGCTTGCTCTCCCCACCCGCCCAGGTGCGGCAGAAGGTGCGCATCGTGAGCCGCGAGGCGGAAGCCACGGAGGCCGAGGAGCCGTGGGGTGAGGAAGCCCGGGAAGGCCGGCGGCGAGGCCCGAGGCGTGAGTCCAAGCCTGAGGAGCCGCCGCCACCCAAGAAGCCCGCGTTGGACAAGGGCCCAGTTGCCGGCCAGGGTGCCGTGCCAGCAGGACCCCCAAAGAAGCCCCCAGGGACCGTCCCTGGCATGGCCCGGGGCCCTGAGGGCGGCAGCAGTGTGGCTTCGGTGCCAGCGCCTGCAGCATCACCGCCGCCAGAGGGTCCGGTGCTCACTTTCCAGAGCGAGAAGATGAAGGGCATGAAGGAACTGCTGGTGGCCACAAAGATCAACTCGAGCGCCATCAAGCTGCAGCTCACGGCCCAGTCACAGGTGCAGATGAAGAAGCAGAAGGTGTCCACGCCCAGCGACTACACGCTTTCCTTCCTCAAGCGGCAGCGCAAGGGCCTCTGAGCTACCCTGGGCCGGGCTCAGACTGCAGCTCCTCCCCGCCCCCCGCCCCCCAGGTAGCCTAGGCCTAGCCTCCTTGCCCCAGCCCCTGCCTGGACCAGGCTCTGGGTCTCTGCAGTATGGACAGACTCCACCAGCCCAGAGGCTGGGACGCTGCCTGGCGTGGGAGTTTGAATCCCACCCCAGAATCCTGTCTGGCCAATGGAAACCGCACCCTAGGCCCCGACTCCAGTCTGTAAAGGCCCCACCACCAGGAAGCCGGGCCCCACCTCTGCGGCTGCCACCCTAGGACTGACCAGGGCCCCGGCCCCCATGGCCAAGGCTTCATCCTGGCGTTCCGGGGCCCCTTCCATCTGGGGGTCCTGCTTAGCCCTGGGAGTACATTTCCGCACTTCAGAATTCCAGCCCTTGGAAACCCAAGCCCCTGCCCCAAGGAACTTAACACTTCCAGAATTTGGGAATCTTCCTCGCACCTCTATCCCAAAGCCCGGGCTTTGTCCCTGGCCTGTGTGAGCCCTGAGCCCCGCCCCTTCCTGACCAAACTGGCCCCAGATCAGAGCCAACCTCTCTCCCCACCTCCGGGAGCACCCCCGAGGTCCAGCCAGTCTCTGGGGACCCCGGAGGAAATCTGCGGGGGTTTGCGAGTGGATAGGGAAGCCTGATCGCTTCCTGTTTTGTACATAGATTTATTTTTCAGTTCCAAGGAAGATAAATACATTTTGTAAAAAAGACGTCCGTGTTTCTTTTGGGTAACTGAGGCGGGGTGGAGCGCCCCTCTTTCCTCTGCCTTGCGGTCCTCTGGGCTCCGAGCTCCCCACCGCCGAGCG